ATGCTAGCTTAGGAGAGGAATTAGAGAGAAATACACAAATAGAATCATGGAGAATCCATTTCAGGTCTGAGAGGTCCCATAAGAGAAACTCAGCCCAGACAGAAGCTAAGGAAGTCAATCAGACAGAAAAGAAAGAACAACTGGCAGAGAGGCCAAGGTGGGACAACAGGACCACCAGGAGACTGGCTGCCCGTCACAACCCAGCACCCTGCTTTAACTCAATGCCCCGTGGATGGCATGGGGCAACATCACCTCCATTGACCACCAGCTCTCAGTCTCCAGATTTGCAGATCTGGAGGGTTTGGGGTCCCTTTACCCCTCTGCCACTCCCAGGGTGCCTGTGTTCTGGGTCAAAGAGGGTCCTGCGATAGAAGAGACTGTTCTGCAATAGACGAGTCTGTTCTTAGATGGTCAGAGGCATCTGCTCTGCTCTGTTATTGCACTTCCAGGTTATTGTGGAGTTGGAGTTTGGGAAGGCATTAGGAGCAAGACTCAGTGCCAAGACTGACTTCCACTTCTATGACTCCAGGCACAAGTCTTTTAGTCTCTGTTGAGCCTCAACGTCCCGTCCATAAATGAAGAGATTATTACCGTATTAGACAATGATGCATTTGACAACAGTAAGTATAGGAAACACATGTATACAGAGGGGCCTGAGTGGCAGAGTTGGTTTAAGTATTTGGCTACTAACTGGAAAGTCAGTGGTTCAAACCCACCAGCCATCCGTGGAAGAAAGATGATGCAGTATGGCCCTGGTAGGATTTACAGACTCAGAAACCCAATGGGTCAATTCCACACTGTCCAGTGAGGGCCAGGAATGACTAGACAGCAGTGACGGTGGCTCTTCTAGTGTCTGAGCAATGATAAGCCTTGCATGATCTGAACTTCTCTGAGGCCATGTGGCTCCATGACCTCACGGCTGGTGCCTGTGTGTTGGGAGAAGTGGAAGGAGGCATTTTCTGCTAACCGCTGATTCAGGCTAATTGTTTCCCAAATAGAATTTTTACAGTTAAATAAGTGTTCCAGGATCTTGTGCAGGAACCACCGACTCTGACTTGCTAGAATGGGAATCACTGACTCACTTGTTTAGTTGGAGCTTGGTGGTTCAAACCCACCCAGAGTGACTTCATAAGAAAATCATGGAAATTTATTTGAAAAAAAAAAAGATTCATTAAAAATACTCTGGAGCACTGTCCTATTCTGACCCATATGGGGTGGCCACCTAGTTGGTCCCAGGATAACTGGCTGGTCTGGCCTCAGATATAACTGCTACATAGTGCCACTGGATACAGCAGAATGAAACAAGGCCTGATCCTGTACCATCTCACACAGAGGTGGCTGTTGTTATGTACCACTGAGTTGGAATTGACTCAGAGCTGACCTTCCAGCTGGTTTTCAGAAGCTGTAAAAGACATGTGAGGAGACTCCCCATCTTTCTCCTGTGAAACAGCTGGTGGATTTAAACTGTGTGCCTCTGGGTTGACAGCATAACTCCTTTCCCACTAGGCCACCAGAGCACCCTTCCCACAGAAGAGGACCTCAAAATGAAGAGAGGTGACCAAAAAGAAATAGAAAAAAGTACAGGTGGCCCAAATCTTAGTACTGAAAAAAAGCTATGACTGAAGAAACATCAGAATAACAGGTAGATTCTCTAACAGATCTGTGGGAGAGAATACTGTCCTTTGGAAGCTTAGGGCTGAGGCAGTTATTATTCCAGGTACACTCACCCAGGAAGATCTCACGTCTGTAGAGAACTCCTGCCTGAAAAAATCTCCCTTCTGCATTAGATGACTCATTCTAAAATGAAGCTTTCCTGTTGAGTGCTTCTCAAAAAAAAAAAAAAAAAAAGCCTGCCTCCATTTAGTCCCTTAACTGCATAAAGTAGACAAAAGCGTGATTAAGTCCCCATTAGCCACCCAGGATGAAGCTACCAAGAAATTTTAGCGAGAATAAAGAAACACACCTCGGCCCTCTTAGCTGTGGCTGAAAATGTCAGTTGTTGTTTTTGTTGTTGTTATGTGCCACCAAGTTGCCTGTGACTCATAGCAACCCTACATAGAACGGCCCTAAACCCTGCTCTATCCTGTAACAATCTTATTGTCTCTGACACACTTATCCCCATTACCCCAGTCACTGAATCAATCCATCTCATCAAGGATCTTCCTCTCCTGCACTGTCCCTCCACCCTCCCAAGCATGACGTCCCTCTCCAAGGACTGATCCTGTGTTGCAACATGTCCAAAGTATGTAGAGCCAGAAGAAAAACGGGCCTGCTATGAAAGCTGATAGTCCCACCTGGCCACCAAGCTGTGTGAATCTCTATGAATCTGATAACAGACAAGTGATGTTCCACTTCCTAACACCAGTGCTCCTTGTTCTGAAGATGCTGTGATACAAAGGATCACAGAATCAGAACTTTCTGGAATAGCTGCCTGCAATGCACTAGGAAGAAGACAGAAAAAGACATAGTCCTCCTGGAATTAACAGGAAGAAAAGACAATTTGGTGAGTAATCTAGAGAAAACTGAGAGACAATTGACAGTTCAAGTCAGGTCACAGACAAGACAAGAGATAAGTCCATTTTGGAGAGATTTGGTTTAACAATGGTTTCTGCAATAAGTCAATGGTAGGGAAAAAAATAGGTAGAGATTTGCTTTATATTTAAATGAGATCTAAGAGATATATCTGTGACTGAAGACTTGCATGTTGCTAAAATGCAAAATAAGATTCAGCAGAGCTTCCTGACTGAGACAGAGTGATGTTGAGTTTATTGTTCAAAATGGTTCCCCTAGCCATTTCCTGACTTTGCCATGTGGATGAACAGGAACATGTGAACAGGGCATGTTAACCAATCCACAAGAGGACTGGCTAGATTTGCCAATCCACAATGGGATTGGGTAGTCTCACCATTAAACTGAGCTGACCCAGCAGCACAATGAGAGAACCTCACCACTAGCAAAGAAGCAGCAAGGAAATGCAATGTATCCTTCAGACCAGAGATTCTTGTACCAGCCAGTCCAGGGTGTATGGGAGCAGCAGCCATAGCGGCCACAACAAAGAACCAGAGGTCTGAAGTGAGACAGATTGGGCCTTGGGATTGCTACCTCACAGGGAACCAGAGCTAAGAGCCTTTGCCCAAGTTTGTTGGAGGACTGGGTGGGGGCAACGGGAGGGAAGAGGCATAACTGACTTTAACTCTGGCCTAAAGCTGGAAGGCTCAAGGCTGAGATGTCTGTGCAAGTATTTTAAATGCTGTCCTGACTATATTCTGCTAGAGAATTGATGCCTTTGAGCTGTGGTGCTGGAGAAGAGTGTTGCATATACCATGGACTGCTAGGAGAACAAAAAGGTTAGTCTTGGAGAGGGTGAAGCCAGAATGCTCCTTGGAGTCAAGGATTCTGAAGCTTCGTCTGACATACTTTGGGCATGTTGCAAGGAGGGACTGGTCCTTGGAGAGGGACATCATGTTTGGGAGAGTGGAGGGGCAGCGAAGGAGAGGAAGACCTTCGATGAGATGGATCGATTCTGTGAGTGGAGTGGTGGGAATGAATGAGTTTGAGATGGCGAGGTTGGCACAGGATAGAACGGCATTTAGGGCTCTCGCACATAGGGGTTGCTATGAGTCACAAACGACTCGATGGCACATAACAACAACAGCAACAATCTGAATTATAGCCTTTTGACTGCACTAATATGGTTCTTTGTGATCTGTGAGCCATTGCATCAGATTTTGGACCCAGCAGAGCAGTAAGATTGGTGTTGGGGTGAGTAGAATGAGGTGTAAAAACATGGGACAGACATGTCTGATCTCATGGAGATTGATTCTGTGTTGCTGAAGGAGACAGTTCCTGTTTGTGAAGTTGGTAAAAGTCAGATATGGCCATCCCCACAGCTCTTGCTCTTTTTAGAGACTAGGAAGCTACATCTGTAGACTTACTTTTTAATCACTCCCTCACTCCTTGCCACTGAGCCAAAATTGACTCATAGCTGTTGGACCTTATAAATTGCATGGAAGGAGGTTGCTCCTCTTTTTTTCTGAGCTATTGCTGGTTGAATTGAACTATCAGAGAAGAACTGTCTTTGAGTGAGCAGTGCAACTCCCTATGGGCCGCCAGATCAGTGTAAACCCATGGATCTTAATGGTCTGCTCGTCAATTGATCTGGGAGATGGTGTAATGTTTCATTGCTGTGCGCAGGGATATGATTACTTGGATCTGAATCTACACCAGCTAACCACCACAACAATCAGAAGTATATTCAGCAGCAATCCTAATGATTGGATCCTGATTCAAACAAACCAAAGAAAGCATTCCTGAGATAACTAGAGACATTTTATATATGAGTTAGGTTAATAACAAAGGCATATTAATTTTTTTAGATGTGATAAAGTGAGAATGTTGACATTGTAGTTACATAAGGAAATGTGCCCATTCTCTAGGAGATGCAAACCGATTTGTACAATGGGGACTGAGGTACCTAGGCTTTACTTCCAACTAAACCATGAAAGGAAGCTGTGAAGGAGTTGCCCTAGCCTGTTGCATCACTAAACAAAAGGCTGCACAAATCCACCTGTGACTCTGAGGGAGAAAGATGGGCAGTCTCCTCCCATTAACATTCACAGCCTCAGAAACTCACTGAAGGCTTGCTGTGAGTCAGAATCAACTTGATGAAAGTGAGGCTTTCCTGTAGTTTGGTTGTGGAGGGGAAAATAAAATATGAAAACAGATATAGCAAACATGGCAACATCTCGCTAAGTTTCACATCTAGGCAGTGGGTTGATGGGGCTCAATATAGTCTTCTCTTCCTTTTTGCATGTCTGTAAATTTGTAATAATAAGCATTTCTTAAGGGCGCTTCAAGATGAGAAGGATCTGGAGCATTAATAAACAAGCAGACAGGTTAAGAGTGGGTGGCTTTGTGTATTTCCAAGGAATATAAGAATAGTATGCACTTAGGGAGCTCTGTGAAGGGGCACCCTACTCTCAGAACAGGAAAAAGAATACCTTTCATCTTGATGGAGAATTCCCCCAGCAGACTCTCCAGCTCTGCTTCAATGGTGCACATGTTCTGTGAAGACAATGAGACCAAGTTAGAATGCCCTTTCTTTCTCAAGTAGTTCAAAGCACAATAACGTCTTGGAAAAAAATATTGTCTGACATTCTGGACAACTACAGCAAGTATTTACATGTTGGACTTGCATTATTCATCCCTGACTATAAAATATTTCTGTCAAAATGTTCAAGCTGACTGAATCTAAGAGAGTCTCTCTCAAGGAGTAAAGAGCATTTAAATGAATTAATGCAATTACAACATGAACTGATAGATCCAGAAAATGGACTGTTTAGTCAGAACAGGCCTGGACTCAAACTTCTACCATTTTGTTCAGCAGTCAAGCACTAAGCTACTGTGCCATGAAGGTTCCTTACACAAAGGCAATAAGGTGGAAAAAAGATTAAAGAGATAACAAGCAAACACAACATAGTGCCCTGATTGCATCCTGATTTGAAAATCAGGTCGCAAGTGAAAAAAAGGGGAAACAAAACAAAATAAACCATTGCCTTCTAGTCAATTCAGACTCATGGTAACCCAGGTGTTATTACAAAGCACACTCAGCCCTGAGGTTTTCCGGCCTGTAGTCTTTACGGAAGCAGCTTGCTCAGCCTTTTCTTCAGGGTGTTACTGGGTGGTTTTGAACTGCCAGCCACAATTTGAGTCCTTAAAAAAATCACCAAACCCACTGCCTTCCAGTCAATGTCAGCTCAGGATGACCCTCCCATGTATTTCCAAGGGTGTAAATCTTAATGGAAGGAGACTGCCCAATTTTCTCCCTCTGAGCCCCTTGTAGATATAAGCCAACACCATTAGGCTGGCAGTTGAACACATAATGCACCTATTCCTCACTTAACAACTGCATCACCAACACCTTAGTTGGTGCAAAACATCAGTACCACTAACGGAGCTTCAGTAAGCCAAAATAGCTAAAAAGACAGTACTGGACCAAGTAAGAGCAACTAGGATATTAGATAATTCTATAGAATTAGTATTAATTCTACTTGTTGTGCTCATGGTAGGCAGTTATTAAGGAGATACAAAGATTGCATAGACTAGTGTTGAGATCAGGACTAAATATTTAGCCACAATGTCATGACTTGTTATTATCAAATGGCCTATTCCTGGGAGAAAGAGACAGAACTGAAAGGAAGGAATGAAATAGGAATGAAAGAAGAAGCATGATTTTAAAATTTTTCTACAGATTAGAAATTTTTCAAAAGAAAGACAGTGGGACCGAATTTTTTCATAACCAAAACATACAAGCAGAGTTTTGCTCTAGTAGGAGCTACAACAACACCCTGACAGTGGTTCCTGGGTCTCATTTCACTTGAAAACAGAGGAAACAGGAAAAGCAGGACTGACACATCTGTGCCTGTGGTTCTGTTCTTAACTACTGCTGCTGCCTCAGTTCCTCAGCTTGTGAGCAGCTACACAGAGCGGCCAGAGTTAGAAATCAAAAGGGAAAGTTTTGTGGCCTAGACCTTCCCCAGACGGGCCCCTTCGTAAGTAGGCCAGCATAAGCTTTAAAAAAAAAAAAAAAAATATATATATATATATATATATAAATGTATTGTGTTAAAATGTATATAAAAACATTTGCCATTCTGATAATATTTTAGGTAGTATTAAGTATATACCTACTTTTCATTTATTGACTATCTCATTATTTAACATTCTGTAAAACATTAAGTATTTATATTTACTAAATATTAAGTAAATACATACCTACAATATTAAAATATCTATTATCTGACTTTGGGGAAGCTGAGCCAACTCTCTCCAAACTTTGCTCCCTCCTTGCTGTAGAGGGCACTGTCTGCTGTGCAGAGCCAATCTCCTCATCTGTGGCTATGTCCTCCGGATGAATGAGAAGGCAGCAGTGGGTGCCAGGTACTCCAGGTAGCCTAGGCCCGCAAGGAGGAACCAGTCCTTGAAGAGGGATGTCATTCTTGGGAGGGTGGAGGGACAGCGCAGGAGAGGAAGACCTTTATGAAATGGACTGATTCAGTGACTGGAGTAATGGGGGTGGGTGTGTTGGAGACAGTGAGATTGGCACAGGATAGAGCAGGGTTTAGGGCTGTTGTGCTTAGAGTCACTATGAGTCATAGGTGACTCAATGGCAGACAACAGCAACAACAACAATAGCCTAGACTTTTTTAGCTCAAAACTGCTATGAGGTGGGAAGGGAATAAAGGAAAAGGCATTGCGGGAGGTGCTAAACTGGCAGATGGAGCCTCTGCCTTGCTGGGGCTGGGGTGGTTGTCTTACAGGGAGCCCCAAGCATTGATGACACACCAGGCCTAAAAGGTAGAATAGGGTTTAGGTTCCTGAGACAAGGCTTGCCGAAATGCCAGATGCAAGTGGAACCTGGAGGCAGCTCTAAGAGATAAGCGCCGACCCAATCCAGAAAGTGGTTAAGCCTTGTGCCCTCAGTCACACAGCCCAGCTTTATTCAGTTTCATTACCTTCAAGCCTCTCCAAAGAGCAATAATCCGTAACTGGACTTATCACAATGATGAGCACACTGGTAAGCGTTAACTCATTATTTCTATGATCATATTTCCTAAATTTGGAAAAAAGCTGACAAATAGGTAGTAGGAAAAGAGTAAACTATTTCTCTTTTTTTTGCATAGCGACCAGGACTTTGGGATCTAACCATGTTGCCAAGTGAGGAGTGGGTATATTCAACACATTGGGCTTCCATCACCACTATCTTTTTCCAAATACTTTTCATCTCCCTGACCACAAATTTATTACCTCTTAAATAATAACTCCCCATTTCTCTTTCCCCAAACCCTAAACCACTATAAGCCATTAAAAACTTTTACTTTTATGTACATTTGCCTACCCACGTATTTCACATAAGTTGTATTGTTGTGTACTCATGTATTTCAAATAAGTGAGGTCATACAATATTTGTCTTTTTGTATCCAATTTTACTCAGCATGTTTTCAAGTTTCACCCATGTGATGTCATGTGTTAGAACTTCATTTCTCTTTATGACTGAGTAATACTCTGCTGTGTGGTTATACCTTTTTGTGCTTATCTGTCCATCTGTTGATGGTCACTTGTTTCTACCTTCTGGTCAATGACTGACAATGCTTTCAGGTTTTTTGGGAACATATCTAGGGGTGTAACTGCTACAAAAGCTTCTTTCCTTTTTTTTTTTTTACTTTATTTATTTACTCTATTTACAAATCAAATCAATTTTTCATTCTCATTTATATACATTTTATAACATAATTAACAATACTAATTAATTATAATGTCTGATTATTTTATTGTATATTGCCTTTCCCATCACAAAGATCTATTTATTAATTGTTCCTCCCCTTTCTCTCCCTTCCTTTCCTTAGTAACTATCCAAGAAAGATGCTGTATATAAAATTTTCCTTAGTTTTTTATAATAGTTGTATTTTATAATACTTGACCATTTTTGACTGACCTTTGTCACTCAGCATATTTTCTCTAGATTCACTCATGTTATGTAGTATCTATAAAATTCTTTATTTTTCTTTAGTGTTGAGTAATATTCCATTGTGTCAATGAACCATAGTTTCTTTAGTCATTCATCCTTGGGTAGACACTTAGGTTGTCCCCATCTCTTTGCTACTGTAAATGATGCTTCAATAAACATGGTGGACATATGTCAGTTCATGTTCTAGATCTTTTTTCTTTAGGATATGTATATAGTAGTGATGTATGTCTAGTAGAGGGGTTGCTGGGTCAAAGAAATAGTATTTCTATTCCCAGCTTTCTATAGAAGCATCAGATTGCTTTCCACAGTGTACTATTTTACATTCCCACCAGCAATATAAGAGAGTTCCAATCTCGCCACATCTTTGCCAACATTTATTGTTTTCTGACTTATTGAACTATGCTACTGTTACTACAGTGAGATTATTTTGAGATCTACTTCTTTTGAGACATTTTTCTGCTCTTGCTAAGAATATACACGGCAAAACATATATCAATTCAACTGATTTGACATATGTAATTTAGCAACATTACTTACATTCTTCAAGTTGTCCTCTCCTTTTGTTTACATTAAATCACTGCCCTATCTATTCTTTCAAGTTGCTATTGTCAGTTGGGTCTCATATAGATCTTAAACGAACACTATGCTCAGGACAGATATTCTTCACTAACTAAGTCAAACCACTGTTTAAGAATACTTCAGAATATTTTTTTAAGAAAAAAGTTTTATTAGCAAAAATATGTCTTCGAGAGAGATTAGAAAAGATACTTTTCAGAAGGAGAGAGAGACTCGCTGAGATGGGTCCATCTCTGGTGTGAAGGATTAAAGGAAATCTTTCAGGAGTAACTTTGATTCAAGGTTTAAAGACTACCTTAGGCAACACTTTCAGGAGTTCATCAGAAGATATGATTCTTTTTAAATATATTAACTTTAGTACTTATTTTAGAATAATTTGTGGGATTTGAGTAGAAGTATACATACAGAGTAAGTTGTTTTATCATCCAATAATTTACACACATTTTGTCTGACGACATTATAATACCCACAATATAATTCTGTAGTTCTGCTAGGGAGAAGGCCAGTTTGCATAAGAGAATATGCAAAGACAATGCTGGACATCATACATTGATTGGTATAGGATATAAAAGCTTGTGAGTGGTGATCTAAGAGATTCTTCCTTGTGATTCTCATGTCTATCAATCCTTCCATTCTACCACTTTCTAAGCTTAATCTATTGCTGCCACCTCTGTTATATTTAGCAGCAACCTCCATTCCAGTCTCCTGGTGGCATCTGCAGGATTCTGTTCCTTACGGCCAGCCTCCACCAAAGCTGTGGTCGTGTAGGTAGAGTTGGTGGTGGTCGTGGCTCTGATTAATGCTTAGCCAATTAATTCAGTAAGTTAGAAGGTTTTAGAAGCCATTTGAACTTTGTTTTCTGGTAAACTTGCAAGATGTTAACATTTTTATCAAGCTGGGGAAAATGTTCTTAGATCTGAGCTGCATGCAGCCTAGAAACTTTGGAAGCACAGTTCCAGTACTGAAAACCAATGAAGACAGATACAAAATCACTTGATGACACAGCTTATGAAGCTACAGAAATTAAAGGAGCCTGGGTGGGTTGGTAGGTTGTGTGTTGCTCTGCTGAAAGAAAGACTGGTGGTTTAAATCTATGAGTTTAGAAAGCTAGTCAGTCTGTTTTCATTAAGATTTGCAGCTTTGCTGCATCACTAGGGACAAGATTATACAATCATCGTAATCTAAACAAAATGCCAGGAGGAAATGAGTAGCTTGGTCATAGGATCTCAGGACTACAGTCTAAGCGATATTAAGGCCAATTTGCATAACAGAGTTCACAACGACAATGCTGTACATTATACATTGATTGGTATAGGATATAAAAGCTTGTGAGTGATCCTCTAAGGTGCAACCACTGATTCCTTTCTGTCTGGCTCAAAGAAGAGTGAAGAAAATCAAAGATGCTCTTAATTGCATGGAAACAATCTATAGCACAACAGATCTCATGACTCTCCACTTGCACAGTGCTGAGACCAGAAGAAATAGATGGTGCCCGGCTAACACTGCTAACAGCTTTGAAAGGGTTAACACTGGAGGGTCCTGGATCAAGTAGAGAATGAACGTGGAGCAAAACTCAAAATCACAATAATGTCCTGGATTACTGGTCTAAGAGAGGCTTGACAAAGTGGCCTATAGTGGCCCTTTCAACCTAGAATTAAACTCAACCGTGTGCAACAACCAAACAATAGGCAGGTCTAGCAGGTGAACAATACAATCATGGAGGCACTACATCCTTAGATCTATCAATCACACAAGGTAATAACGGCATTCTTTGTCTAAGAAGAAAGCTCTGAAGAAAGGAAAGAGGAAGTGAAATAAGAACTACAGGTAGGGACAGGGAAGAAGGATGATACAAATCACAATAAAAAGTCCAAGGCAAAAAGGGCAAACCTTTAATCAATACCATATACCCTTTGGAAGTTTACTTTGAGTCAAAACTGACCTCACAGCAATGAGTTCCTTCTATTTTTTTCCTCCCCCAGCCTCCATCCCACAGATTTTTTATGAGTAAAGTGTAATTCTGTGCCCTGGCCCTCAGCCAATGGTGGCTACATCTGAAAAGTGCTGGGTCAGGCCACTTTGAAATGTTGATTATGTACTGTGAACCAGAACGAGTTACTGTTGACTTGACTCCAACTCATGACAATCCCCTGTATGTCAGAGCACAACTATGCTGTTTGGGGTTTTCAATCACTGATTAGATTGTTACGGCTTTCTTCAAGGACGCCTTGGAGTAGAACAGAACTGCCACCCTTTTAGTTAGCAGTTGACGGCTTCACTGTTTGCACTATGGCAGTCACTATAATTAGAAGCTGATCCAATTTCAGAGAAAGCTAGAAATGAAGCCTCATGAACTAGGACTTCTTTTAGGCCAGAGATTCCCAACTTGAGGGTCCACAAACTTGGATAGTAGGGGAGGAAGATGAGGATCACATCTTTATTTTCCCCTAAATAAACATTAGCATCTTATGAGTATAGAGAATAAGCCATACCAATATTAGCAGTACTGAGATTTTGTCACTGATGAACACCATGTACTTCAGGTTCTTTGTTACAGATTCCTTGAAAAGTTGATTATATATGTTTTACTACTTGGACACTTCAGATCTAGCGATACAGTGCATTTGTATGATGAGTTGCTAAACAAAAGGTCAGTAGTTCAAGTCTACCAACTGCTCTAAGGAAAAAGGATGGGCAGTCTCTTTCTGATGGAGGAATTCAACATTGGTAATGGATTAGACCCACAAGTCAAATTCAGTTCTTTGACCTAATCAACATTTAGGAAGGTCTGGTGACCTAGTGGTAAGAAGCCAGACTGCAATCCCAAGGGTATGCAGTTCAACTCTACCAGCTGCTTCATGGGATAAGGATGGGCAATCTCCTCCCATGAGATCTACTGCCTCTGAAAACCCACTGGAGTCAGCTCTGATTTGATGGCACACAACCACAACTAAAACTAAAAAACTCTTTGTCATAAAGGTTATAAATTACATGGGAGAAGATGCCCATTTTTCTCCCTCAGAGTTGCCAGTGGATTCGAACTTTGAGAGAGATTTTGCCTTTGGATTAGCAGCCCATCTCCCTACAGACTCTGCCACTAGAGCTCTTCTAATTTCATAGGTTAAGAAACAACAACAAATTCCTCATCTCTGATTTTTAATAACATTTTGAAAACCACATTGACAACATTGAAATAACTGTATTTCAATATAATTTATTTCCCTTGAATGAACATATATTCTATGTATTTATAAAACACTATTTTGAAAGGGGGAGAAGTTAGGATAAGAAGTCCTGTTTCAGGTCATGAGAGGGGATGTTATAGATCTAATTATACCTCCCACCCCTAAATATATGTGCCATAGTACATTACTTGTTGAGCTGCTAACTAAAAGGTGAGCAGTTCAAATCTACCAGCGACTCTGCGAGAAAAAGATGGGCATTCTCCTTCTGCCAATATGTAGAACCTCAGAAACCTGATGGAGGGTTAGTTGCTGAGAGTTAAAATCACAGTAAGTTTGGCTTGATTGTGATTATACCTGTAATTACAGTATAATTTTGGAATAGCTTTTCTTTATATTTATTAGTAAGTATTAGCATAGGATGTGTCTCGAGTAAATCTCATTGGAAATTTAAAATGAGCAGGTTAAGAAGCAAACAGCAAAACTGTAGAGATGGGTAAGACAGAGAGATAGATGTTACGCCACGTGAAGATCACCAAGGAACCAAGAAATACAAGCTAAACAGACAAGGACCTTTGCCCAAAGCTGACAGAGAAAACCTTCCCTTAGAGCCATTGCCCTGAATTTGGACTTCTTGGCTGCCAATGCAAAGTTACACGGTTTGAATCCACTAGCTGCTCCAAGGGAGAAAAATGGGCAATCTCCTCCCATGAGATTTACTGTCTCTGAAAAGGTCAGGGCCACTGAAGGGCCAGGGGTGGGTTAATTCTGACACAACAGTACACAACAACAACAAAAGCGGTGAAAAATGCATTTCTATTTGTTAAAGATACCAGTGGTGGCACTAAGACAAGGATCAAATTTGACTGGGATGAGAGTCAGCCTGGGTCTGTATTTGTGACTTGATCCAAGACATCTTCCAATCCCAGGTGGGGACAGATGCTCAAACTCTGGGGACAGAGTCCCAGAGTCTCTAGGCAGATGACTTCATTCCTGAAACCTTATCACTCTACAAGACTAATGGGACAATGAGAAGTGCATCTTTAATAATTCAGGCATTTCATCAAAGATATCGGTTTTAGGTGACCTTTCATGTCGTATGTTAGAGCCCTAGAGACAGGCTCCAGGAAGGCACACTTCTGGTCACATTGCTTTATCTTGTCTCCTTGAAAAGGGAAGGACAAACTTACAATAAAAAGCCCTAGGAAGCAAGCAACCAACACCCTACTCTGACACCCAGAGAACCCAGTTTGAACTCAGAGTTTGTTCAGCTTCCCAAGGAAAAGCCAATGAGGCTGGGAGCCCTGGTGGCACAAAGGATTCACAATGGCTGCTAACCTAAAGTTAACGATTCAGACCCACTCAGCTGCACTGTGGAACAAAGACCTGGTGATCTGCTTCTGTAAAGATCACAGCTGAGAAAACTTTCCGGAGCAGCCGTACTTTGTAACACATGAGGTCACCATGAGCCTAAGCTCACTCCACTGCAGCTAACAATACTACCATCACCCACCACCGTGCAATCAGAGCAATGTGGTGTACTCCTTCATTCATTGCATATTTCAAGAAGCACTTGGAGCCTGTTTGTGCAGACCATGCAAGACAATATGGAGCACAAAGAAATAAACAATTTAACCTTTGAGGAGTCTTAAATCTTGTAGTCAAGGTAAAACAGGTAGGTGAACAAGCATGTTACCAGGCATGAGAAGATGAGTACTTGAAAGGTAATGCTAGGGGTTCTGGAACCTACATGCTCTCAGGACCAATGAGAGCCTCATGCAAAATAAGCAGCCATCCATGTCACCAGATAAGTCACTGATCAACTAAAAAAATGCAAGCGAGGCAGACAGCAACATTCCCCTCTCTAAGGAATGGAATGAAGAACATTTGCCTGGTTCTTGGCAGTCACCAACAATTCTGACTGGGCTAGGTGGGGCCTGGCACCTGACCAGGTAAGCACATACCTCTGTGTACTCTTTGTAGCTCCGGTTGATCTCAGAGAGGCTCTCACGAGCAGCTTTGCTGGCAGGGGACGTGGCAAAGGCTTGCTTCATTTTGCTGGCTCCATCCTGGAGGCGTCTTTGGATACAATAAGCTTCATAGAGTTCATCTACCTGTCAGGATCAAAACAGGAAGCACAGGGATAGAAATACTTGTCACGCTTGGAAGACGTTACATAGACCATTGTTAAGCGCTTAAGGTACTTAACATTTCTGACCTCAACAAGGAGAAGTCTGTAGAAGTGTTACCCTGTCAGACTGAGCTCAGTCATTTCCATGTTAGCCACTATGAACATCTGTTTTTAGAAAGATTCAGTTTTGATCTTTCTTTTCAAATTAGATAAAATGCAAATGTACTTAATATTGGCTGGTTGGTCTGAGACAAACATTAGGTTATAAAAAGGAAGACCGGAATGGACCTTGCATAAATGGGATCAACCCTGGAAGACTTTGGAGTTTCACACCAAAGTGCAAACTTTGGTGTAGAGTAGGCGATTATCACTTTATTTTAAGAGGAATTGTCACAAGGTGATAGTCACACATCCAGATTCAGCATTTTTTAAAAAGAACTTGATATTAAATGCACTTTTGGTTCAAATCTTGACTCAGTAATTAAAAAGGAAAGTGAGGTTACTAAGTTATTCTTAAAGTTACAATGACACAGACTTGTCAAAACTCATCAAACGGAATGGTTAGGACTTGAAATTGGCTTATTATTAATTACACCATAATTTTAAAAAAATAATTAAAGTAGTCAACATAAATCTTTTTCTTTGTTCTGTATACCTCCATATTTATGCTCCAAAACACTATTATACCCTCTGGAAAGTAATCACTTAACAAATCTAAAATGATTGTTGTTGGGTGCTAACAAAGTCAGCGCTAACTCCTTGAACCCTGTAACAAAATGAAGGCCTGCCCAATGCTGCACCACATTTATAATCTCTGCTGAACTTAAACCCATTGTTGAAATCATTGTGTCAATGAGGATCTTCTCTTCTTTAACAAACCTACTTTCCCAAGCATGGCATCTTTTTCTAGGGACTAACCCTCATAACGACATATTGAAAGTGATTCTCAATCAGCTGGGGGAAGTTTCCCCCTCAGGAAGCACACATCAATCTCTGAAGATATTTTTAGTTGTCCCAACTGCTGTGATGTTACTTGCATGTTGTTAAATATCCTCCATTGTACAAGTCAACCCCTGTAACAAACAATTACCTTAAAATATCAATCATGCTCATGTTGGGGGGGGGAAATATCTGTGCAAAAGTCATTCCTGATAATTCTTATTTCTACAGTCTATTATTTTCACCTATAAGCTCATGAAACCAACTGTGATCAATTACAGGAATTTTTCAGGCAGAAACTAAAGGAGAACCTCTCTAGGGATAAGCAGAAGCAAACACAACGTATTGTCTCTGAAAGGCAGTAACCTACTTAGGACCACTTGAAGTTTTATTTCAGCACAAATTTTGTGCCCTCAAAAAAGAGGCTTAAGGTAAAGATCCAGAAGAAGATGGTGACTGGATTTTATAGTACAAGATTCTTTTGTTGCTCTGAAGATAAATTTTTGGCTTGTCACTAAAAAGCATTACTAACACCTACTGTTGTTAGCAGCTCAGGCAATCCCATGTGGTGCACAGTAAAACTGTTCCATAGGATTGTCTTGGCTGTCACTGCTGTGGAAGTAATTCACCAGGTTTGTCTTCTGCTGAGTTAGTGGATGGGTTCGAACTGCCAAACTTTGAATTAGCAACTAATTGCAAACTACTTGTATTGCTCACACTCCTACTTTTATTCAAAATGAACTCACTGCTGTCAAGCTGGAACTCATTCATAACTGCCTGTCTCCCAAGCTGGGTTTCCAAGGTTGTAAATTACAGGAGGAGACTGTCTTTCTTCCTTGGAGCTGCTGGTGGATTTGAACTGCAGCACACTTCCCTACAGCCTACATTATCAGAGCTCCATTCTAGTATAGTTTCGTTGTTGTGAGCCATCAAGTCAACTACAATTTACAGAAAACCTATGAAAAACACATCTGAACCTGGCCTACCCTGAGCCATCCTCTGGATCTCTGCCATTCTCAAGCCCCCTGATCTGTCCTTTGTCAATTCGTATCACTGAGGGTTTTCCCTCTTTCTTTCTGATCCTTTATCCTCTAGTATCATGTCTTTTTCTAAGGACTATGCCTCCTGGCAATATGCCCATAGTATGTAAGACAAAGCTTCACTATCCTTGCTTCTAAAAAGCAACCTGGTCATGCTTCCTCCAAGACAGACTTGTTTGTTCTTTTGTAAGTTCATGGGATGTTCAGTTGTTGTTAAGTGCCGTCGAGTCGCAGGCGACTCATAGCGACCCTATGAAGGAGAGTCCTCGATGCCTGGGTGCCTTTCTTCCTCTCTCCAGGTTCATAGGGTTTCTGGAGGCAAGCTATTATGGAAGTGGATACCATTCCTCTTTCCAAGCTTGTTTTAATCGGGGCGCTCCACCCCACTCTCTGTCCACATTGGGTAGGCAACCATTAACACATTTGACACATCAGTGTCACAGTATTCAGCCTCACAGCAAACACAAGTGACCACTGGGATGTTCAGTACTCTCTTCAAAATCACATTTCAGCGGCGTGCATTCTTCTTTTGTCGTTCTTATTCATTGCAACTTTCAGATTGCAACTGAAAAGACCATAGATTGTATAAGGTACACTCTCATCTTTAAACTGGCATCCTTGTTCTTTAGCACTTTGGAGAGGTTCCTGACAGATTTCCCCAATGCAACTCTTATTAGGGTGTTAAAATTTTCATTATTGCTTTCTTTGTTATTGCTAAAGATAACAGTAATACTTAGCCTCGACTGTGAACACTGAGAGACTTAAAAGTATTCTCTTCGTTAAAGGAGTCTTTGTTGCTACTTAGTTCATCAGTTCATGATTCATTATACTCTGCTGAAAGGAGTTCTTGAATTCCAGTTACACTTAGCGTCATTATGGATTGGGCTCAAGACAATACAGTGAATAAAGTGAACAATGCAATAAAATGAGTCATATCAATTATTTGGTTATCCAGTGCATATAAAAGTTATAACTACACTATAGTATAGTTTGTTAAGTGTGCAATAACTTATGAAAAAGTATGCACTATGTTGAGAATTACTATAATATGACAGAGACACAAAATGAACATATTCTAGGGGAAAAATAGTGCTGGTACTCATGGTTGCTGAAAATCTTCAATTTGTTAAAAATGGGTGAAGAATGTGAAAAATTTGTGAAATTATGGGTGAAAGATAACAAAGCAAAGTGTAATAAAATAAAGTATGCCTATACTTGTTAGTCTTCAGGAATGATGGATTTATTTCTGATTAAAAGGTACCTAGTGGGTTGAGGGAGGAGTGCATAAAGGAACTGGGAAAGAGCCAGTGTGAAAAAGAATGTATACAAGCTTTGTAAGTAAACCAATATAAAAATAACAATTTTATTTAAGAAAAAAAAAAAGATACCTAGTGATAAAGTATTTTTGTTGTTTGGCACAAAAGATGGTTCCCAAGAGGACTGACATAAGGATGTACGGGTTGGAGGGGAGACTGAGAAAGAGGGAATAAATAAAGTATACTGCATTGAAACAGATGAGGGAGAGAACTGTTTGAAAGGGATATATGATTAGGTATTATTGTCATGACAGGGGTCCAGAATGAAGGCTGCACACTGAAGTGGACTTGGGGAAAGGGATTATATAACAATGAAAAAAATTTTCTTTTACTTTTCAAACAGAAGAGCAAACTGGGGTGGGGAGGGGTGGGCAGGGAGAAAAGTGCAATAATGAATGAATGGAAATCCAAAGTCTGTAAACTTTCATTAAAATTAATATAAAACAAAAAAAACAAAAACCTAAGCTAGATAGTGCTGATGTCCAGGCCCAGTTTGGAGACACTGTGTGACCAGGTTGGGACTGGTCTGGACATTTGACATTTTAGATGAATACTGCAGATTATTCTGATATGTGTTTTAGAAACACAGTATCAATAGCTCTTCTAATGCAGGCCCTGCTGTTTCATTCATATGATCTCTTAGGGGACTGTCTTTGAACCTTTTCCAACCCACTACTGGGCACTCAACACACTGAAATGTTACTCTTCAATGAAGATGTTGTGCTCCCTAGGCCACTCTTGATGGCAATGCTGGTTTGTGCCAAGCAAATGCCTGATTTGTGGCAACTTCATCCACAATGGAACGAAGCGATGCATGGTCCTGAACCATTTCTTTGACTGGTTGAGGATCAGACATTGTAATCCACAGGGATTACACGGACTAATTTTCTAAGTAATCTGCCAGGTCTTTCTTCCTTCCTTGTCCATCTTAAACTGGAACAACCTTTCCCTGACAGATGGGTAGTGGCTATGCATGAAGTAGATTGGTTGGAAACTGAATCCAGGTCTTCCACACAGAAAGTGAGAAGTTTACAATACATTCATATAGCTGTGAAAATTTATTCTTTGTTTCTACTGAAATGTCAATCTCTGCTAACCAGCTGGAGTTAAATTTCAGTACAGATAGAGAATATGCATCCATGTAAATCATTTGAGTAGAAAATACTACATTCATAGAAAATTGTCTGTCTTACCTGTATATCAGTAGCAGCTCTCCTCAAATAAACTTATTTCTTGATTGACTCATTCAGTGTTTACCTATATAAGATGCTTCTAACAATACCATTGGCCTTTAAAAACCACCAGGATTGTTGATCTAATATGGATTAAAAGGAGCCCTTTTGAGGTACTGCAGTATATTAAACACTGGACTGCTAATTGGGAGGACAAAAGTTCATATCTACTAGCTGCTCTTCAGAAGAAAAATTAAACAGCCTGTTTCTGTAAAGATATATGGCCTTGGAGGCCTGATGGAGCAATTCTACTGTGTCCTATAGGGCTGCTACAAATCAGAATTGACCCATCAGTACTGGGAATAAGTACAAGAGGAATAAGTACATTTGGCCTGAGAGTAATTTTATTTTCTTTTTCCCAAATGAGCGGAATACTTTGTTGAGGCTTGCCTGCCACCCTTGGTTTTATATATTAAGTTTAACAAAAAAACAAGAGCGTTATCAGATTTACCAAGTTAATAAATAAGTAGGATATAATATATACAATGCTGTGCAAACAGTTAAGCACTCAATACTAGCCAAAAGGCAGGCAGTTCAAACCCACTTGGGGGTACTTTGCAAAATGAGGCTAGTGATTTACTTTCAAAGGTCACAGTGCTGAAAATGCTATGATTTAGTTCTACTCTGTGCACAAGGGGAATCAACTCTGTATACACATGTATAAATCACAATGGAATTTAAAGTGGAAAAAGTTCTTAGAATTATCTAGATTGAGTATGTGCCCCTTCTGAGCTCTCCCAGAGTGGAGGGCCAAGGTTTACCGAGACATACGGCCAGTGAGTATATGGCAAAGGGGGCATTAGAACCTCTGGCTTCTAATGTCTAGCAAAGACACCTGCAAAACCATTCATTCTCCCACTTGGAAGAGAGACTGGTAAGTGTGGACTGGGGCAGCATAATGTGAGCAGAAATGGCTAATGGTGTGAGTTAGTTTCCCCCAAAAGAAATATTTTCTAGGCTACACTGATAATTTCTGAGAGTGTCCAGAATAAACAGAGATAGTTGCACTCCATACAAGGCTTTATTGACCATCTGTGAACTATTTGTAAGTTTCGGAAATGGATGTTAGGGATGCTACACAAAGTGCCCATCCAGGCAAACAAATTGGATGGGAAAGCACCCACAAACTACACTGTAAGAGGAAAAGCAGAAGAAACCAAGAACTTTAGAAAAATGTATGGGAGGTGTGGTATAGTACTTTGATGCACTGTGAACTACTTTTTCCTTCATGGGGAAATATCTGCGATACCAACTTCTACTCAGATCCACAGTGCAAAGCTGTGATGTCAGAGGTTTTCTAATAGGGTCCATTTGACTTAATCTTATCTCTAACCACACAACACTAAGGCTGTAAGCCCTTTGCCAAGCACAGAGCAAGCTACCCAGAAATAACTTAACGAATGTTTGCCCAACTTCAGCCCAATCAAAATGGGGCTAATCAGGCTGATCATTCGTATTGTTCCTCCATCACCTTGGGCTGTGGGAGGCTTCAATTGTTTATCTGCTTAGCAGTCAATTAAATAAGAAATTCTCCAAGGGCTAAATGCTCAACTCCAGCCAAAGGTGTATTGATCACTAACTGAAAAACAGAGGCAAAGATGACACAACAGGAATGTCATTACCTTACTAATGTGAAACTCCAGGCGTCGCATGTACCTTTCGATTGTTTTAATTTGCTGAAATTAAAAGAAGATGTTTGAAAAAGTACAGTCATTTACAGTTCAATTATTCTAGGCTAGTGCTTTAATTCCTTTATATCCCAAAGTACTAGAAAATGCTCTTTCTTATTTTCTTTCTTTGGTGCTATGTTTAGAGATTCTCACTAGCAACATGGAAAGTATTTTTTTTTTAAAAAAAAAGCTCGATAAATATTCTGAGAAAAGAACTTGAATGAATGACTGAGATCCTTGTCGTTAGCTAGCTAGGGAGGCTAGCCAAACAGAATTCACTGGCTTCCTGGCAGGCTCATATTGTCACGGAACATACTTTAAATGCTTCATCATAGCACATACTTTTGCAGGTGTAAGACAGATTCTCCTGCCTCCCCACCGTCACTTTTGTGTCTCTGAAATTGAGGTGCACTTTACGACTGCTGCCGCCCAGGAGGCAGACAGCTGTTTGTGCATGTTCAGAGATAATCATAGCTGTTAGTGAGTTTGTGTCATTTCTTCAAGTTGCATGTGTTGTTAGTACTACATGCCTTAAATGTAATTGCCCATTTAAGGGTTATGAAAAACATTATGCAATGATTCAGCAATAAAGTGTTATTGTGTACATGAACAGACATGGAAACAGAGTCACAGCAAATACAATGAGAATTTTATTGACCGCACATCTAACTAGGTCTAAATGAGTTTTGTCAATACATACAAGTTTTAAGTAAGAAAAATTTTATCAGAATTGGCTGAAATAATTTATTTTCCTTAGTAGCACATACAATAATAGAACATTTTTTAATCAATGATATCACTGATTTGATGAACTATATGAAGGGAGCTCTGGTGGCCTAGTGGCCAGAAGCTTTAATCTAAAAGGAATTTGGTTTGGGGCCACTAGCTGCTCCGTGGGAAAAGACTAGGCAATCTCCTCCCATGCGATTAACTACTTCTGAAAACCCACCAGAGTGTTAGCTATGGGTTGATTCTGACTCTATTTTATACAACACTATGATAGCTAACACTTAAAACTTTGGTAGTGTTATCTATTAGGAACCTGCACTTCTAACTTAAAGATAGTCTCTATGGTAGTTCAAATCCACCAACAGATCCAGAGAAAAAAAGATGAGCAATTTCCTCCTGTGCAATTTATAGCCTCTGAAAACTGCCGGAGGGTCAACTAAGATTTAGCAATTAGTGAGTGAGTGAGTGAAACTTATCATACTACTAATTAAAATACTGAGAAACCTGACAACCAGGTAGTTATCATTCTCCTTTAGACAAAAGAATGAAATGGTTTTTCCCCCCAGAATTAGAAGAAACTTCAGTTCTCTAAATTCTTATTATTCCTAAGAGGCTCTCTTCCTTGACTCCTGCTCAAAGGTACAGGGTTTAATTTTTCAGCAGTACCCCACCCCAACAACACAGAATGAAAACTTACCTTGTCTAGGTCATACAGCACACCCTGGAAAAAAAAGAAGAGTATCTGGTTAAAATATATTTCCCCCAAAATTGTTACTGATACAACTAGGTGGATTTAGTCTGCATCACCTGTGAGGTAATTCTGCATTATCAACCCACAACATAAAGTTTGGTTATATTCTTTAACATCCGATTTACAAGATAGTTAAAATACAGTTTAAAAATAAATGTAAAGACAAGCACATCTTACTTTACCATATTTCTCAAGAATTTGTAGTGGGAAAGATATTCTTCATGTCATTATAAATAATTAAAGAATGCATACTGACACATCTTACAGCAATGGTTTCCTTGGGGAGCTATTTCCTTTAGAAAAATTTGGAAAATAGGTGCTCTGATAAGCTCACTAGGCAGATGTTTTTGCCTCTCCATACAGAACTTGTCATCAGAAGGTGATTGCTAGGTATCACATGTCTGACCTTGTGTGGAATGCCTGCTGAGAGCCACAGGACACATTCTAAGATGTGAGGGGTGAGGTTTTGAAAATGAATATTCCTTTTGGTGAACTTTCACATTTTTTTGAAGGGAGTGTATTTTCTCTGGGACATTTAATTGAATACATTTCTGAGTCATAAGTGAGTTTAAGTCCAGATAATATTTTCTTCTTAGCAAGTATACATTGCTTTTTTGGGATAGTATTGGTTAAAGCAGGCTGCTCCTTGGAGGCAAGGATTCTGGGGCTTCGTCTGACATACTTTGGACATGTTGTAAGGAGAGACCGGTCCTTGGAGAGGGACATCATGCTTGGTAGGGTAGAGGGACGGCACAAGAGGGGAAGACCCTCTATGAGGTGGATTGATCCAGTGACTAGGGTAATCTGGATGGGTGTGTCAGAGGCAGTGTGATTGGCACAGGATAGAGCTGGGTTTAGGGCTGTTGTACATAGGATCTCTATGAGTCACAAGCGCTTCGACAGCACATAACAACAACAATTGGTTACAATAAAGGAGGTATTCCTCCTTCACCATCACTGTGAAGTGCCTCCCAATCTCTTAAGGCAAAAGAATAATTTTGAGTCATCCTAGAATGTGTAAGGGAGTGTTGGTGGATTCTTAATAAAAATTTGTGCTGCCAATCAAGGCATGTGTTTTGAATTCACCAGCTGCTACATGGAAGAAAGATGGACAATCTCCCATGTGACTGACTGCTTCTGAAAACCCACTTGAGGGTCAGCAATAGGCGTCTCAACAGCATATAACAATACAGTGTATTATTTCTGTTTTCATTTTTCCCACAGTTAGATTTGCATTGGCATTCCCTTGTTTACAGGTCCATCTCTTCTAGTCTGAGAAGGGCACTCTGTACTATAGATATCTGCTGGTGTCTACTAGGGAGCTCTGATGGCCTAGTGGTAAGACACTATGCTACAATCCCAAAGGCATGCAGTTCAAATCCACCAGTTGCTTTGCAAGAGAAAGATGGGCAATCTCCTCTCATGCAGTTTACTGATTCTGAAAATCCACCGAGGGGTCAGCTGTGGATCAGTTCTCACTCAGCAGTCAGTACAGAAAAATAACTTCTAGTAGGACACCTACTGGCATGGTACATTACTTGTTGTGCTGCTAATACAAAGGCTGCTCTGTGTGATAAAGCAGGACAAACTCCTCCTGTAAAGATTTCCAGCCTTGGAGAGCTCATGGAGTACCCTATGAGTAAGAACTAATTTGAAGGCAAGAACTCAGGTGGCATAGTGGTAACACGACAATCTGCTAACAAGGGGTCATCAGTTTGAGCCCACCTGTCGGTCCACAGGAAAAGATGGACAGATTCCTCTTCACAGCTTCAGAAACTCTCAGAACTGCTATGGGGCAGTGGGCTTGAGTGCTTAATGCCTTTTAAATTTTGTTTTTGTCATCTGACAGTATATTTGCAATTTTATTTGAGACTATACAGAGCAGAACATATGTTTTCTCTTAAATGCCAGTGAAAATATATGTATAAGACACTATCTATTTATACTCTGTTTTCAGAGTCCCTCCCAGTCCTCTCTGCCCATTGAGGTTTTAAATTTTTTCACTTGCTTTGAACTCTCTTCTCTCACATAATGAAGAATATGCAATGTTCATTTATCAAATTTCTAAAAAAAATATTGCTACCATAAAATAGGGCAGTGATTTATGTGTTAAACAAATGCCTGTTTAAATATGTAAAATTTTTCTTTCCCAAGTGTTCTTGAGGGTAGTAATATGCTTTTCATAAACTGGTTTTAAATCAAGTTCCTTGGCTGTGGCATCATTGTGTGAATAGGGATACTTATGCTCACACAAAAGCTGAGGAGACCAGGAGATGTTCTCAACAACATTATAACCACATCCTTCACTAGGACAACTTTTGGGAAACATTTAAGTGAACAAATAGGAAAAAGAGTTAAGTGCTTGGCTACTAATTAAGAAGTTGATGGTTTAAATCTACCAGGTGCTCTGTGGGAAAAAGATGCAATAATGTCCTTCTATAAAGATTATGTATTGTTGTGTACCATCGAGTTGGAGCCAACTCATAACTGACCCTCCAGCAGGTTTTCAGAGGCAGTTTAATCACATGGGAGAAGCTTGCCCATCTTCCTCCCATGGAGCAGGTGGTGGATTTGAACCACGTGCATGCAGGATTCAGTTTCTTACCACTAGGTCACCAGAGCTCCCTTCTGTAAAGATTACCTCTGGGGTAGTTTATTCCTATCTTATAGGGTGGCTATAACTCAGAATTTACTTGACAATAGTAGGTTTGGGGTTTTTTTTAACTGGTTTTGAGCCTTTGGATGGTGCAGAGTTAAGCACTCAGCTGCTAATAGAAAGGTTAGAAGTTGTGACCTCTCAAGGTGCCTCGGAAGAAAGGTCTGGTGATCAACTTTTGAGAAATCAGCCACTGAAAACACCTTGGTGCTCAGTTTTACTCTGTACCCATGAGGTTGTCATGAGCCACCCGATGGCAACTTGCTTTGTTTTGATTTTCATAGACCACTAGGGAGCAGCTTCATGGAAATCCTTCCCATTGTTCTCTAAGGGGAAACACTTACTCCTTGTTGTTGGTCAAAGGGCACCTGCAATTCACCCCATAGAGAATGCCACAGAGATTGGGGCAAGTCATAACTCCAATAGTTATTAAGTATTTTAATCTGATTCCTTTAAGAAGGACAATCTACATCTTAGTATATCTCCAAACAAAGATAATAACAACTATTAATGCCAAGCTTACCATCTTCTAAGTATATATAGACTGACTTTGGATTTTCTGATACCATTAATCATTAAGGTGCAATATTTTTTAGAAAGAAGTCATTTAAACAGAGTATACATTAGAAATACCTCTTCAATCAGGCAACAGCCCTCCAAAACTTTTTAGAACAGAGTGACTCTGCAGGCATCTTGAGTATCACAATGAATGCATTAACTAATTGGCCAAGGACTCTTCCAACATCACATGTCAGTTACTCAAGCCTCCTTTCCCTCACTGACTCAGCACGTTTGTTGTTTTTTTTTTTTTATTTAAAAAACAGAAATAAATAAAAAAATTCTGGATTTCAAATTCTGTACTATTATTATTATTTTGTAAGAATGACAACTTTCTATTTTCCTGTAAAGGAAAATATAACAATAATTAACATCTACTTGGCTAGTCACATAAAACTTGGTGGTTTGGACCCCTCAGCAGTGCTGCAGAAGAAAACCTGGCAATCTGCTTCCCCAACAATTACCGTCAAGAAAACCTAAGAGGCAGTTCTACTCTGGAACATAAGGGGTTGTCATAAGTCAGAACTGACTTTGTGGCAATTTTCTTTCACTTCAGAGAAAGTTCTTAAATTTTATTTTCCTTAATAAGTTTATCTGGAGAACACAGAAAAAACACACATCAGAGGGTACTTTGCCCTGAGGCAGATAGGATTTTACCCTGTGGCACAGTTTTTCTTTTAAATGCTATACCACGTTTAACATCCTAATAATGAGATGGTACCTACCAGGCGAGAGTTTCTTCTCATATCTTTTAACTGAGCTGTCAACTTGTCCAGCTCCGTCTGGTGAACCTCCAGATACTCACTATGAAGATAAGACAAGACAAGACATAATCGTGAAACTTGTGACCATTAGGCGGAGTCTGGGCTGACTTGACATTTTCCTCTGAAAAGGGATGAAGACTGAGCCTTCCTCTGCATAGGGCAGGGGGCTCTGGGCCTACTCAAACCTTTCAACACTTTAAAAGCTCTGGCATTAACATCCGACATCATCCAGAAATCTCCTGTGAGGTTAAACATCCAGGAAAAAAAGAGCAACGGGAAAGGAAGGAGAAAGAAGGTATCAGTGGAATCAACCTGGCCTCACAGGATTCATTATCAAGAAAGACTATTCCCTGGAGAAGGACATCATGCTTGGTAAAGTGGAGGGAGGGTCAGTGAATAAGAGGAAGCCCTTTGATGCAGTGGTTGCTGCAATGAGCTCAAACATAGCAATATTGTGAGGATGACACAATAGGATCTATTTCGTTTTGCTGTGCAAAGGGTCACTATGACTTGGAGCTGACTGACTCCATGGCATCCAACCACATCAACAAATATGACAGTGACTGTAAATGTCTTACCACCAGGAAAAGTATTATCCTGGACCAAAAATGCCTGGCATATATTCAGGAAGGTTTCAGAACTCTTCTTCAGTATCTGTAAATAAGCTTAGCCATCATTGTTCAAAAGAAATGCAATGCTGCACAGAGTGAAATATAAGGGCATTTGCTTTTTAAGTTTTCTTCAGTTGTCATGGATATGATGTGTGGAAGCCCAACACACTTTAAACTGCTGGAGCCTATTTAAGGCTTCCTTGATCTTGGTACAAGAATAAAATCTTTACTACAGAGACATTTTTCAATTACGCCCACATCACTAGCTTTTTCAACCCCCTCTGGGCATTTTAGAAAGAAAAAAAGCCTCCAGCACGTTAGTGAGTCAAATGTTCTTACTCAAGTCCATGCTTCAAGGCCCTATAGACCTCTTCCACCCTTTTAGGTTGAGGTTCTTTGGGAGTGCTGTTGTTTTTGTGTCCTAAATTGTGCATTTTCTTGAGTTTGGCCTGAGGCTTCTTGACAGCAGAGGTATTTTCAATGAAGGAGTTACACCTATGGAAAGAAAAGATGAAATCATCATTTAAGGGCTTTTGGCTAAAGCAATGCAGTCTTGGGTTCATATTAACATCCGTCAGGGAAAACAATATTCCCTTGTATATTAGCAGAACTGAGCTATCTTACATTTAATTTCTTGGGTTTAGATTTGTTAACTCCAGAAACCTGAAAGTGTTTCTGGGTAACACTAATTAGAATCAAGGTTGGTTTCAGGTAATGTGCACTCGAGGTAAAAAATGCACAAAACTTCTAGGTGGAAATAAGGAACAGATAGTATGAGATAGAGGGTCTCTGGGTGATGTAAATGGTAAACACACTGCATAAGTGTTAACACACTTGATTCATGCTAACCAGCTGATAATCAGAGGCACCTCAGAAGAAAGATCTGGCTAAAGTACTTTAAAAACATTAGCACTGAAAACTCTATGTCCTATTCTGACAGGCAAGGGTTGCCATGAATTGGAGACCAGTGGCTGGCAACTGGTAACTTGTTAGCATTAACCTGAAGCATGGTGAGCACATAAAAATGCTTGCTTAATGAATAAATAGAAGAGCTAAGTGACTAAAGGAAAATCTAGTTAAATGAGGGGATATGCCACGGAAATTAGAAGACTAACTTTCCCTACCCCACATCTGAATATAATCTATCCCTTGGGTTCCATCTGCAGAGGCAGAGTCTTTAGGCACTGCATAACTTCATACCAATCATAGTTTGCAAAATCTGAAGGTAGTGGGAAATGTACTTCAGATGAAGTAGCTTTGGAGGGGTCGGATGGGAAGATATACACACATATCACTAAATTATCCCAAAACTTCACAGAAGGGAGGAATCCTAGATAATTGAAAGTAGAAAAGAAACTATGTTGGGTGCCACTGAGTTGATCTCAACTCACAGCAGCCCTATGGGACAGAGTAGAACTGCCCCGTAGGGCTTTATTGGCTTTGATCTCTTGGAGCAGGTCTTTCTCCCACAGGTAGGTTAAAATAGCAGCTTAGAGCATAACTAGTGTGTTACGAGGGATCCTTAATAATGAAATGATAGCATTTAATTTTGATGCATTAAGTTTTCCTTTTTTTCCCTGTAAAAAGAGACTGAAATAAACCTCTGTGTGTATGTGTGTGGGTGTGTGTGCGTGCATGTGTGTATATATATGTGTTTGGAGTATACATGTGTATGAACCGTCTTCACATCAAACCCCGCTTCCTTCTCACTCAGTCTCTCCATAACAGCCCTGGGCCACTTGCCTGGATCGTCTTTCCTGAAGGCCACTGAACCCTGCAAAAGACTGGCTTCTAATGATTCCATTGGGTCCTCCAGGTGAGAAAGACTGAGACCCTACCAACATGATTTCTGGGAGTCTGGTTGGTAGTCCTGCAAGACAAAGGAAAGACTGAGGTGAGTTAAAGGCAGGTTCTGAAAGACACAACATTTGTTAACTGTGGAAAAGGAGGAAGTGACCTGGGTGAAGTGAATCACGAGACCATTATGCATTGCTATCTCTTCTGTGGCATTTTCCTTTTAAACCAAAGGGCTCAACTCTCAGGTGAAGTAAAATATCCCTGACACAAAGTGATAGAGATTATGCAAAATTAGCTGTGATCTTCAAGTTTTCATTAGGGACTTTCTTTGTTAAAAACAAAATCCAACCATATCTTCAAAGGAATTTTTAGCACTTTAGAATGTTTAGCTGTAGACTATAACATCTCAAAAGAAAAGAAAAAGACCAAATAACACAAACACCAAAATAATATGAGTTAAAATGCTAACCTTCAAAGACATAATCAGTATCAATCACACACAATTAGCCATCACTTCAGGTTTTCTTCAGAGTTCTTTTTTCTTTTATCAAGGTGCTGCCATATGTTAAAAACAAAAACAAGTAAACCAAAAAAAAACCACAAAAAAACCTACCCAACAAATTTTATATTTACTTAAAAGCAGTACCACATCCTAAAATAAAAATAAACCATCTCAAAGTTTCTGCTACATTTTACACCACATCCAAAATACAGGTCTTAGGATACAGTTCTACTCTCAGGAGTCAGAAGGTGAGAAACACTAGATTTCTTCAGAAGCGAACTTACTTAAACTTGCTCTAGTTTTTTTCTCTAGCCTTAAGTGTATTCTGAAGGAGAAGATTGTGCCACTTCCCGTAGCGGTACAAAATAAGAAGGGTGTACACACAAAAGAAGTGATAATCTAGGTTATGATAAGAACACCAGAGAAGAGAGAAGAGAGCGATACAGCAGAAAGCACACAGCCCTCACTTCAGCGGCTTCTTCATCTTTTGTAAAGACTCACCATCACTGACCAAAGCGCATTGTCCCACCACCACCTCTGCTGGACTGAAGCCCCAGTGATTTCCCCTAAAGGCCTGCCCTAGAATTGCTGGGTAATGCTAATCCCTTTGGGCCCTGGAAGTCACATACCATTGTTTCCGTAGGTAACCTCAGTCCAGAGAAGGGGTCAGGCTAGCAGGAGAAAGGCGAGGCAGCTATTGTCCAGACTGAAGACTTCCAAAATGGGCAAACACAAAAAAAAATTGGTGTGTCTGATAACATCAGTAGTTGCCCTCTCAACACCCAACAAGAAAAGAAAGGAAAAAAAAAAATCTAAAACCAAAACTGCAGCAGTAGAAGCTTCTTGTAGACAATGGGAAGGCCAGTTTTCCTAGACACTACTCTCTGGAGCAGCTCAGCAGAGGAAGAGATTTAAAAGGCTTGCTTCCAGAGGAGGAGCAGGACAAACAGTCCCCTCCTCCACAGTGCAGGTTATTAAATCCCACTACCCCACCCGCCCTCTCTGGCAGAAAGAAGCCCTGGGTTTTGGGTGCATTCTTGTAGGATACAGATGCTGACTCATGCTACAAAGAGACCTTCATATTAAACGTTTTCTTTGATCTAGACAAGACACAAATCCCATTCCAGCTGGGGATGGGAAGACTAAGTTTTGCAACATTCTTGAGCATTTGAAAAGCAATTAAGTGGAAGCATGTTTGTGCAGTAAAAGTAATATCTCATCAACCATATGATACCAGAAGGGCATCATTTTCCCAAAACCAAAGCTGAGAAGACAAGAGTAGGAAAGAAGGGCAGTGGATATGGGAAGAAGTGGAAAGAGTGCTTTACAGTGACTGTGTGGATTGCAACCAGAGGTATGAAGCACAATGTATATAAAATTATTGACTGTAAAACTAATTTACTCTGCAGTCAATCACCCAAGCTATAAACCTTTCAAAAAGGAGTATCATGTGCGTGAATAGCTACATAAATTCAGATACAAATGAAGCTCTCTCCTTCCTCTTCTCAAGGCTTGAACATTACCACATTTCATTTTTAACTTTGAGAGTTGTTAAATGCTCCCTTGGAGATCTAGTCGTTTTGTGGTCTAGTCCAAAAAGGGTTGTGCCACTAACCCAAAGGTGATTTAAACCCACCCAGCATCTCTGAGGGAGAAAGGTGGACAATTTCCTTCCACGCAATTTTCAGCCTTGGAAAGTCAGTTCCAACTTCAGGGCAGCGAGAGAGGGAGAAATGTTCATTGCCGATTACTAAGGGATTTGTCCATATGTCATTAAAATACCTTGTTCAGGTTCATAAAGCATAGCTGTGTTTGTTAGTACATTGCAAATTTGTAATGCATATCAAGTAATGCACTCACAGTTTATAGCCAAAGGATGGAGGGGTGGGGTGCTCAGTTTGGGACAGGGTTCCCAAATATCAGTGCACAATGAAAATTACTGGAGTCTTTCAAAACTAATGCTGTCTGACTCCTACCTTCAGGAACCATGACATAATTGGTTTGGAGTGTGATCTGAGATTTTTTTTAAAGCCCTCAGGTAATTCTGATGTTCAGCAAAGTTTGGATCCCATTTCCTTAAGAGTTTTGATGACACAATCCAACATATCAGTTACAGTCAAAGATAATGCGGTGCTGGCTGAACCCTGAAAACTTCTATTAAAATAAGCTATTAGGGGGGTATGCCAGTGCTTACTGCACGACTCTTCACAGTAGCTCCAACATGAAAATAACAAAAATATCCATCAGCAGAGGAATGTATAAGTAAAATGTGTACATACATACATATACAATAGAGTTTTAGGCAGCTATGAAGAGGAAGTTCTGATGAAAGCTATAACTCATATTAACCTCGACAGGGTGCTGAGTGGAGAAAACTCAATCCCAACCCATTGCCCATGAATCCATTCCAAGCCATGGGATTTCCAAAGCTATAAAATTTATGGAAGCAGACTGCCACATCTTTCTCTTGTGGAGTAGCTTGAGTTTGAATTGAGAGATCTGAGTTTGAACTGTCAAACCTTTGGTTAGCATTTGAATGCTATATTACTATGTCACCAAAACAACCCCAAACCCCAAAACCAAACCCAAACCAGTTGAGCCAAATCTGACTTGTAGTAAGCTTCCATCAGATTTCTGAGGTTGTAAAAATCTTTACTGGAGGAGGCTGCCCATCTTTCTCCAATGGGATAGCTGTTGAATTTGAACTGCCAACCTTTAGTTTAGCAGTTCAGGTCCTCACTGTGAGGAGCTGCTAGTGGATTCAAACCACTTTTTAGTTTGCAGGGCTACACAATATGAATTATGCCACCAGAGTTTCCCCAGCTCTACCTAAGTTGAAACTCACTATGATCATCTGTTTGACCACTTTATTGACAGCCCTTGGTGCTTAAGTCATTGGCCATTGGCTTCCTAGAGGTCTTCTCTAGTGAACTGTTTTCCTTAGCTCCCAGCAAAACTATACATAAAGCGACACTTGGTTTTGTTTTTTATTTTTTTTTATACTTCTTGTTTTTAGATCCTAAGAACAAATACATCTATCTTGGAGGAAGTGCAACCAAGGTGCTCCTGAATGGCAGTCAAAGGGATTTCATTTTATAGGCATCACTTTGATTTTTATAAAGGAATATATTAGTGCATTATTTATGTAATGAGAAATTCTTATGTGACATTGTTGTTATGTGCAAGCAAGTCAGAACTGACTCCTGGCAGATCTTCCAGTGGGTTTTCAGAGGCTGTACAGTGCCTGAGAGGAGACTGCCCCGCTTTCTCCCACCAAGAAGCTGGTGAATTTGAACCACCTGGGGTGTGCACTGCAGCTCCTAACTGTGAGGTCACCAGAGCGCTTTTTTTTTGTGCATTGTAGACATGGACCGGTCCAAAGTTGAGATGGATCAACATATAAGCCCACTCTTGTGTTTTGTTGCTACTTATATAGTTGTTCACAATAAAAAAATTCTTGTGAAAGGAGGATATGAGTTCTAAGAAACAATGTATTTTTTTTTTTTTTCATAAATTCTGGCTAAACGTGAACAATTCATTGTTCTGGTCTGATCGGTGTAATCAGCCAAAACCCTCTCACTGTCGTAGAGCCAGAACTGACTTATATGAACTGACCTTCAGTAGGTTGTGGTAAATCTTATGAGAGGGGATTGTTTATCTTTCTCCTGCGGAGCTGCTGCTGTGTTCACATCCCCCGAGAGCGGCAGCCTTTGGGTGAGCAGAACAACTAACTCCCCATGGATTATGCCACCAAAGCTCCCTAATCTATACAATGACTTATTTATTTTAATGTGTGAAAATTTTAGAAATGACATTGCTACTAACATGTATGAAACCAGATGGAGGTTGCTAAACTCTGATCATGTGGGTTCTGACTCATTATCAGCCTCCATCAGATTTCTTCTTTTAAGAAACTGTGTTATGTTTCTAAGGACCACCAAATATCATAGCCCTCAAGTAAGTAGACTGATCCAGGGTCTGCAATAGATTTAAGCAGTTCAGAGATCATGAGACTGTCACAGGGTAGGGCAGCGTTTTGCTTTGTTGTACATGGGGTCACTTGAAGTCAGCTTTATTTGATGGCACTAACAACAATAAACAAGCAAGAAATTGCATATAAAACCACACACTCGTCTCTGGAAGCTGCCACCTGAAATTATTGGTGTGTCAAAATGTATTTCTAGGCTCTAAAATAATGAATCCTCACCTAATATTTCTGAGCACACAGCAGAAACAGCATTCACTTTTCTGCACTAAAATCCCAGAGAGACTTCAAATCTTAAGCAAACCATAAAGCTGCTGAGGCTTTGCTCTTCATCCTCAGCTTAGTTGCACAAAATCTGGGCTATAATACCACACCCTGCCATTCTTATAGCCAACAGGAAAAATGAGATCTTTCTGGAAAGAATCTCAAGCACACAGACTAGAAGTTGAGCCAACCCTACCATTCTGAGCTGAGCCTCTTGGCACAGAAGTCACAAAAGTCACATCTACTTTCTCTACTTGAGTCTTCAACCATTGAGAAAATGAACAAACAAACAAACAAAAAGCCCTTGATTTTGTTGCCATCTAGTCAGAA